TTCTATGTTTCCACTCCTGATCTAGCTGTCCTTTTAGTTTGCTTTTGTTTTAGGTGTGGTTGTTAATAACTGTGAGTTTGCTGTCCTTTCACTGTTCATGTTTTTTTAACTTCTTTTTCTTAGATAAGTCCCTTTAACATTTCATATAATAAGGGCTTGGTGATGATGAACTCCTTGAATTTGATCATATCTGAGAAGCACTTTATCTGTCCTTCCATTCTAAATGAAAGTTTTGCTGGATAGCAAATCCAGCAAAACCAGTCTTGGTTGTAGGTCTTTGGATTTCATGACTTGGAATACCTCTTTCCAGCCCCTTCTTGCCTGTAAGGTCTCTTTTGAGAAATCTGCTGACAGTCTGATGGGAACTCCTTTGTAGGTGATCGTCCCCTTATTTCTTGCTGCTTCTAGGATTCTCTCCTTCATTTTAATGTTGGCTAATATAATGATGATGTGCCTTGGTGTGTTTCTTCTTGGGTCCAACTTCTTTGGGACTCTCTGAGCTTCCTGGATTTCCTGGAAGTCTATTTCCTTTGCCAGATTGGGGAAATTCTCCTTCATTATTTGTTCAAATAAGTTTTCCACTGGTGGCTGTTCCTTTCCCCCTTCTGGTACCCCTATAATTCGGATGTTGGAGCATTTAAAGATGTCCTGAAGGTTCCTAAGACTCTCCTCATTTTTTTGAATTCTGGCTTCTTGACTCTTTTCTGTTTGGCCATTATTTGCTTTCTTCTGGTCCACTCCCTTGATTTGAGTTCCAGTTTCCTTTTCATCGCTATTGGTTTCCTGTGCAATTCCATTCATTTCAATTAGTTTCGCCTTCATATGTTTCTCTAATTTGTCGGCTATAATCAACCAGATCTGTGAGGATCCCGATCACCAGTGTTTTAAACTGTGCGTCTGAGAGTTTTGCTATTTCTTCATCGCTTAGATTTATAGGCTCTGGGGCTTTGAGATCTTGCGCCATTTTTGGTCTGTTTGCGCCCGTTAAGTGTGAGAGTAGCAGCGCCTTGGACTCCCAGGTCGCTGGGTTGTGACGCTGTATTTGGGGGCGTGGTCAGAGCGGTGAAATGGCGACCCCCTCTGCTGTTTCTCACAGCTGGGTAAGGATCAGGGCTTTAGGTGGTTCACCTGGGCCGGGCCACTCAGAGTGGCTGGGTTATGACGCTGTATGTGGAGGTGGGGTCAGAGCAGGGGAAATGTTGGCGCCCTCCGCTGCCGCTTACTACTGGGGCCTGCTGGGACCTGTCCAATCACCCATTCCCTCTCTTGTCTATCTGCACACGAATGCGCGACAACAGTCAAATCTCGGCACTGCTCCCTCGCTGTTTCCCCGCAGTCACTTGCTCGGTCGCTCACTAGGTCCAACCCTGCGCCTGGGTTCCGCGCACCCGAGTCCGTCTGACCGAGTTTTCCTGTGCAACCCCGCTGTGCCAGCTGCTGGTTTCGTCCCTTACCGGTCAGGCTGAAGAATTTGTTGTTATCGGACTTCCGAAAAGTTCAATGTTCTGTGTTCTGGCTGTGTTTTCTGTTGCTAATATTTAGTTGTCTCTAAACTTGGTTGTGTGAGAAAGCACGGCATCCCCACCTATGCCTCCATCTTTGTGGAAGTCCGAAGTTAAGCATATTTAAAATAATCTCCCAGGAAACCTGAAAGTGCGTTGATACCCAGGAAGTAATGTGTCCAGTTCTCAGGCAGCGTGAACTTCTTACTGAAAACAGACCACCCCAGTCTGTCTCTCTGAGTTCCTTCTCCTAACTTAGCACGTCCCTTTTCTAGAAGAGAGTGAGGGGGTCAAGGAGAGAGCACTCTGCTCCGCTCCACCTGTGGCAGAGCCAGACTCTGCACCTGGCAGACCTGCTTGCAGTGGGGCAGCGGCTGCTTTTGCGGTCCCATTTGGCTACACTGCAATGAGGAAAGCTAGTGTGGGAGGGCGAGGCACCAGCTCTGCGGGGCGCGGGGGGTGGCTTGGGGAGGGTGCGTGTGGTGCAGAGCACAGAGTGGCAGCTACTTCAAAATCAGGGGGAGCCCTGGGCAGTTGTGGGAAGATGTGGATTATGAGTAAGGGCCAGTAAGGGAAGCAGCGAGGACCAGAGGGGCTTTATGTATTAAGTAAGTAATGAAGAAAACCACGTTCAGCAGTCAAGACAGAAAGGCAGGAGGGCCTCTTGCAAGTGTCTTCTAATTGTGAGCAAGACCACAAGTCATTAACCAGAAGGGAGCAGTGGAGCTGTGTGCAGCTGCCGGTACTTTCAGCCCGGGCGAGGGTGTGCCACTCCTGCTTCCTTCCAGTGAGAGGTCTGACGAGGCGCAGCAGCGGAGCTGTCTCTCAGTGTGCCCTGCGATGCTGGGAGCGTGGAGAGACGGGGCTGGTGCTCCCTGGGCCCTGTTCCCATGGGCCACCCCCGCGGCAGCAGAAGCATGTGCCCCACGGCAGCTGCATGGAGGCTTCTCACACACCACAGCGCTGAGGGGACCAGCCATCTCCTGTGGGGGCCAGCACCCACCGACTAGTGATGGCCACAGTCAAGTGAGAGGGAACAGCAGTCACAGAGAGCACAGCAGAGGCTGAAAGTGTTGCCGTTTGTCTTCAGATAGGTGTCATTCTTTACTGATTTGTAAGTGAAAAACTCAAGAAAACTACCTATTTTTTTCATTTTTAACAGATTTACATTTCAGTGGTTCTTGCATCTTTTCCATCAGTAGCAGGTTTCAGGCTGTGGTGCGCTCCCTCTCGGCATCTCGGAAGTACGCTTTTGGTCTGTGGGTTTGCACTTCTCGCTGTGGGTTGTTTTAGTGACTCCTGTCCTGTCCCTCTGGACTTCCCTGTTTGAAACCCTTTCCTGGAGTCCCCTTCCCCAGAAGAGGGACAGTCGAGTATTCATCGAAATAGTTCGAAATCGTCTGAAACAGCTGTTTCGGTGGAAGAGGGTTTTATTGCGGCCGAGCATTGCTGATTCGTGGTCACATTGTGTGCTCGGAGGCTGGGTGGCCAGGCAGACCTTGCTGAGAACCAGAGGACAGGCGGGTTTAACTTCATTTTCCCTGCCCCTTATTTATTATCATTATAACCTTTTGAATGCGGTTTTAAAACATGTTTTGAAATATGTGTATATGTGAGAAAAGAGGTATGTGGAACTAAAGATAGGATAATGCTACATTTTATAAATCAATCCTCTATTAACACTTGTTCTATCTCTGTTACCTGGTGAAATACGTGTGCAAATGCACCTGGTTCGTTGACTTCAAACCAAAAATGGGACTGTTTTTAAGACCAGGGCAAGAATGTGGCGGGGGCAGAAAGCAGGCCGGTGGCTGAGCACCCAGTGCAGCTGCTGAGGGGCAGCGCATGAGGCCACGCCATTGGAAGGGTGTGTTCTGGTGAGGGGCTGCTGCGGGGAAAACGCTGAATGGGAAGGCCGTCCAGGTGGAAGTGTCCAGGCCGGTCTTGGTTACCGTGAGGAGGGGCATACATTTGGAGGCTGGAGGAGCTTTCTAAGAAAGGAACATGATTGCACACCACAGTCTCACTCACACGTCTCCCACCTCTCAGGTCCTGGCGTTACTGCTTTGGTAGTGTGTTCATTGATGCGCTCAGTCCCCGCTGCCAGGCGTGGGCGAGGGGAGAGTTTCCACGCTTCCGCCCAGGGGAGCACGCAGAGGCCGAGCTCGCGTCACGGAGGCCTGACACCTGTCTGTGTGAACGTTTGTGCTTCAGCGCAGTTTCTTCAGCCTCATAGCCACAGGGCTTACAGGACTGGTCACGCTTGCGTTCCTTGCACCACTTCTATAACGCCATGGGCAGAGCACAGCCTTAGGGTGGGAAGGCAGGTGCAGTTTGCACAAGTATGTGCAGCGTTCTACACTGATGTCACAGTTAGAGGGGCAGCTCATTGTACTAGGAAGAAAATGACAAAATTTATTAGAATTTTATGAGAACACTGCGGTTTTTAAAAGTTGAGAAATAATGGCTGAGCTTCAAAGAATGAGGTACTATTAAATAATTATTTTGATGATGTGTAAAATTAATGAATTCTTTCTGGAAAAGGGAAAAGAATTGTGAGGCCTTTATCTGCCTACAAAAACATGACACTTTCTTAAGTAAATATGTGTTTTTAAACCTTTGAATTCTTGAAAGGCTAACTGAAAAATGAAATGATTTTTAGTTTTATTTACAGAGTCTACTAGTAACATTTAGTTAGTAAAAGAATGTTACTCTGTAAGAGTTTAAATTTTTCTATCCAGTGCAATTCAACTGTGTAATATTCCTTTTGTTAGTAATGTGGTTTCTTAAACATTTCATATTCTGTTTTATCAGAGATTGTTGATTTTTGTTTTACTATAACTTTTCAGTAAGATCCAACTATATGATGTCTGTAAGAGAGTCAGGTTTTATTTTAAATATTTTATTTACTTATTTTTAGAGAGGGGAAGGGAGAGAGAAAGAGGGAGAGAAACATCAATGTGTTTGTCTCTGGAGCGCCCCCTAGTGGGGAACCTGACCCCCAACCCAGGCCTGTGCCCTGACTAGAAATTAAACCAGTGACCCTTTGGTTCGCAGGCCAGCACTCAGTCCACTGAGCTACACCAGCCAGGGCTCTATTTCTTCTATTAAAGTAAAGCAGGTTCACAGCTGTAGTTTTGTGTTGTGTTACAAAGGTAGCAAAGGATAACATGTTTGAGATCAATGTCAAGAACATCAAAAGTAGACATTTCCCCTTTCAGATTGATGTGCAAGAAGGTCAATAACTGCATGGATTTCAGTAAGCTTAAAAGTGGTCTTGAGGTGCTGTGGACATGTGAAAACACAGAGTTAATTTTTAGAGCCCTCACTTTGTTTGCTGTGTGACTCTCTCATATGGCAGAGTCACTGGGTGCGTGACATGGGCACATATGCGTGGAGGGGGGCAAGGAGGTAAGTCACGTGATATTCTTGGGGGAGAACTTAGAATCCTGTGGGTTATTTTTCTGCCTTCCATCACCTTTCCCTGTTGTGCTGCAGGGCCCTCCGGAGTTCCCGCAGCATACCCCTGGACCTGTTCCCAGCAACTTCAGCCAGCCCCCTCGGCTCCCTCTTCAAGACCAGTGGAGAGCGCCACCCCCACCCCAGGAGCGAGACCCCTTCTTCTTAGGAGGTAAAGGATGGTGGAGAGTGATGGCCACAGCTGGGGGGAGGCGGTGAGGTGCCAGACACGCTTGTTTTAACTGAATTTAGCTCCCTCTCCGGGATCTTGTTAAGAGTGTTGGATTTTGTGCCCTTGCACTTTTTCCCATCATTTCCAGTGCTAAAACTGGATGGGACTGTTATCTGAAATGCGACCACCTCCTCCTACAAAGGAGGAGGTCAGCTAGAGAAAATGACCGGTGAAGTCATTGAGAAGTGGAGGGAGACAGAGGGCTCTTCATGGACACTCTCGCCTGCCACCACCTGTAGCTTTTCAGTTGGAGGAGGGTGTGTCGCCGCCTTTCCTGAACGTGCACCTCCTGTGCAGCCAGGGGCTGATGTCCTGGTGCCTTTTAGTTTCAGGTGACCCTCGCTTCCCGAGTCATCTCTTTCTGGAGCAGCGAAGCCCCCCGCCGCCACCGCCCCCTCCCACACTTCTCGGCAACAGTCACCCTGTGGCCGCGCCCAGTCCTTTACCATTCCCTCAGCCCGGACCAGCGTTCAGTCAGCAGGGACAGCAGCCTGTGTTCCCCCGAGACCGGCCTGTGAGGCCCACCCTGCAGCCACCAGGTCCCGTGGGCCTTCTTCACTTCAGCCAGCCCGGGTCCGCGGCCACGCGGCCTTTCATTCCCCCTCGGCAGCCCTTCCTGCCGGGCCCTGGGCAGCCGTTCCTGCCCGCCCATGCCCAGCCTACCATGCAGGTATGTGGGGCGGGGCCTTGGGGGGGGTGCCACAGCTGTGCGTCACGTGTTTCCGAAGACGCAGCCTCACGTTTTTACTCTAGCCTGCTGAGTTGTGCGGGTTGTCTAAAGAGTAAGGCCGCTGATCTCACACACACTGATTCCTGCAGACGGCTCTGTGGACAGTACTGTTTATTTCCTCAGTCACAGGAGAAGTAGAAAAGTTGTTTCAGATTTTAAATTGTATTAGTGGCTATACCACTAATATAATTAGGACATGTTTTGATAACACATGGAGAAGGTTGCTTGGGGAGGAAGGGGTGCCGACCGATCCTCCTGGTGGGATGAGTTCAGTTCCCCCTGTTGTCGGGCTGCCCCTCGGCTGCCTTGGTCCCTGAGCCCCCCTTGCGGAACACGTGGCCCTTGCACTTGGTGCTCACTGTCACAGTGAGAACAGTGGTGAGCTGCAGCCAGCGGTGTGGACACGCAGGGTGTGTCACGTGACAAGAGGAAAGCGATGGCTGGTTGTGGTGTGAGAATAGGGTAGAGTGGTCTCTTGTTATCGAAAATGACACAGTGACTGCATCCTCATGACAGAAGGGTTCCAGAAGAGACAGGTACTTACAGAGGAAATTAAATAAGCCCGGTACCTGACACAGTCACCACCAACACTGGGTGCTCACGTCTCCCAGTCTGTTCAGAGCATCTGTCTGCAGTGTGCTGCTCTGCAGTGGCCTGCGGGCGAGGTCCTGCCATTTGGGGACCACGTGCACCTGTGGTGATGGTGGTGGTGATCCTGTGAGTCAGGGTGTCACCTGTCACTGCATCACAAACCTGCTGCGCAGGCCGCTTTTTAGGAACTTCCTTAGGGCAGAGCCTTGGAACTTTGGATTAAAGCAACTAAGGTCAAATAGAATATTACCTTCATCAGAACACCTAATGTGAATTAGTGGCACTTGAAGTTTCTTTCTGGAGTTGGGGTGTTTAAAGGAATGGCTGAATTGGAATGTAACAAGTATATGCATTTATGAACTGTTGTTTCTCTTTCTTTTGGCACCAAAGGGACCCCTGCATCCCCCGCTCCCCCCTCCACACCAGCCCCCACCACAGCCCCAGCAGCAGCCCCCGCTACAGCCGCCCCCCCAGCACCCGCCGCCCCCCCAGCCGCAGCATCAGCCTCCTCACCAGCCGCAGCCGCACCAGCACCACCACCACCTGTCCGTGCCCCCTCCTCCGCTGATGCCCGTGGCGCAGCCCCAGTTCAGGCCTCACGTGCAGACGGCACCGCCCCAGCAGAACAGCGGTCGGACGCAGTGCCCCCAGCGCCAGGGGCTGCGGCATGTGAGTGTCTGCCTGTCACCGGCCTTCTGCCAGTGATGCCTTTTAGGTCACAGAACTGTGGGGGCAGAGTTCGTGGGCTGGGGTAGCTTCCAGCTCTGAGTTAACGAAGGAAACAAATGTAGTGTGTTGTTCTGCAGTGGCTGCATGTTTAAAACCTGCTTAGGAAATTGGTCTTCTTGTCTACCGAAATTAATAGCCTCTCTGGTGCCTCTGCCTGCGTGGTGTACTTGCACATCTCACTTTGGTGTTCCTGCATGGTCCTGTGGTGGTGAAAGTAGTATTAACAGACATGTAACTTCAGAAAACAGTGCTGGGTAATGGTTACTCCCCTTTGTCATTGCCGGTGGCTTACTTTTTTTCATTCTCACTTCAGAATACAGTTATTGCTTTTAAGAGAGAGTGGAAAAGAGAAAGAGCAGCATCAATTTGTTGCTTCTTGTATGCACCCTGACTGGGGCTTGAACCCATAACTCAGGTATGTGCTCTGACCGGGAATTGAACCTGCAGCCTTTTGGTGACAGGACGACGCTCTTAACCAACAGAGCTACCCGGCAGGCACTGGTGACTTGGTCTTTGACTCCCAGATGGTCTCCATCTCCTTGGGCTCTGGGTGGATCAGTAAAGAAGCTTGGGGGCAGGTGTTGAAAGTCCTCTGTTGCTGGGCCCCCTTCAGGCCCTGGGGCCCCCTGTTTACCTCGGGAGAGCGCCAGCACGCTGACCTGCGAGGCTGCTATGCTCACGGGGCCCGCTGGCAAGTGTGGTGCTGGTCACGAATAGAAACACGCTGGGCGGTGTGTGGCTTCAAAAATAAGAGACAGTAGTCACTATCCCTGCCTTATTCTCCATTAAATAACCCTTTTGTAAGGAACCCGTGTAATGGTTAGTGTTCTAGGCTGTAAGGTGGCATAGGTTCTCCTTCTGGTGCTCCTCTTTGTGACTTTGAGCTTCAGGCACGTCACTTAGTTACTTTCAAATTTTCTTATTTCTTTCTTAAAGTAACATTGGGGCCAGAGGGGGATAAGACATAAGAAAGGATCTCCAGGCCTGGGAGGATGGCGGTCCCTTCCTAGGTCTCACTCTCTTGGAGCGATAGCAGATGGCAGGCCTGGCCTTGTCTCCTGACGGGTCGGCCCCTGTGAGGGATTAGAGAGTTCAGGTCCCCCATCTCACGTCTGTGAGCTCCCCCACGTGTGGGTCTCTGTTAGGTATCCCAGGGATGGCCATGGCCGGTGGCTCAGTGGGATGGAGTGACGTCCCGTTCACCAAAAGTTTGCCAGTTCGATCCCTAGTCGGTCACATACAGGAGGTAACCAACCAGTGTTTCTCCCTCACGTTAACGTGTCTTTCTGTCTCTCCTCTTCCCCCTTTCCTCTTCCTCACAATCAATAAGCATATCCTCAGGAGAGGCTTAAAAAAAATCCCAAGGATGAACATGACCAAGTGTCTCCTCTTGGATAAAACTCGCGGGCATCTTCCTCCTCCAGGGAGTTGCTTCTCTAAGGACACTGACCTCACACTTGGTGCTGTGCCACCCACCGCAATGTAGAGGACCCAGTGCGAGTGCTGCCGCTGCCTCTCTGCAGACAGTCCTCTGCTGGCTCTGTCCCCAGGCCCAAGCCCCACCTGCAGGCCCCTGGTGTGAGCTCCACACAGCAGAGCCTGTCTGTAGGGAGTGTCCCCTTGGCGATCTCGGTCCTCAACCGCAGGGCGTGCTTTTCTGCACTGAGCAGGGACCAACAGTGCTGATGAGTGGGAGGCGTGTCTGCCCTGAAAGAGAAGTTACTTACTAGCTAGAATGGTTTTTGAATATCTGTATCTCATCACGAGCCTGTCTGTGGTCCTTCTCCCAAGCTTCCCGTGGTGACTGGAGTTTCTTTCTTGTTGCGATAGAACACGACGTCTCAGAACGTCACCAAACGGCCATTGCAGCAGCTGCAGCCAACTGCTCCCAGAAACAGCAACCTGCGTGAGTTACCCATAGCGCCCTCACACGTCATGGAGATGAGCAGTAGCCGATGCGCCGCCACGCCTGCCTCTCACGGAAAGCCGACCAGTAGCACGCCGCCACCCACGAGGCCCGGGCCGGGGCCCAGGAACACCCAGGGGAAGACGGACTCGAAGGTCAAGCCTGGAAGCCCTGGGGGACAACCTAAGGAAGAAGCAAAAGCGGAGCTGGAGGTAGGGCGCTGTCATTAGAGAGGGGTGTGTGGCTCAGACGGGAAGCCTCAGAACCCACATGTGCCTCCTGCGTCGCTCCGTCCCAGCGGGCCACTCGCACAGTCTTTCCCCCGAGTCTCCACTTGGCCTTCCTCTCGGCCTCCTGGCCGTGCACACAGATGTGTGCTCTCCCCTTGCCGGCACCAGCACAGTGGTGCTCGTGCACTGACGCAGCTAGAGCTGTGTGCCTCGGAGGCTGTGTGTGCGGGCCTCAGGGCCCAGGTGGTGAGGGCTGCAGACTGCAGAGTGTGGACTGTTTCTTACCATGTCCAGCCGTGTTCCATGCAGCTACAGGGATGGCTCGTAGATCGCGGGCATAGCTGTGTTCAGTAACACTGCGTGACAGGACCCGGTGCCGGGCCGGGTGTGGGCCGGGGGCTGCAGGTAGCTGATCCCCGATACACAGCGTTGACATTCCTGTGACTTCTCCTGGGTTTACAGGGTGCATAACGAGGAGATTAGACTGCTGGAACTTTTGGAGGGGCATTCTGAATTGTTACATTATTGCTGATTTTTAAATAGGGGTAAATGTTCTAAGACTAAATGGTAAATACAAGTCAGTATGACATGGTTTCCACTTGAGATCTTATTTGCACCTTGAATGAGTTTCTGCCACTTGCTGATGTTTTGGTTGGGCTGGTGCAGCATTAGTACAGTGCTGGCCGTGAACTTTGTAATGGGCTCTTGTTCAGTATCAGTGGGATCTGGTTGAGACAGACCCATTGGGGCCACTGGTTTCCCGGAAAAGAAATGGCTGTGCGGTCGAGGTTTAGTCTTGGGCTGCTGCCCAGGGGCACAGAGACAGCCACAGGCAGCAGCTCGCATTGTGGGTGCCGGTGCAGCACAGCACAGGGGACAGCTGCCCTCTGTGTGACCTGCCACCGCCAGCACTGTGACCCTGAGCTCGTCACTTCACTGCTCACAGCCTCGATTTTCTTCACCGTTGGCAGTGTGCGTCTGGGATGGGACGCTGATGAAGTTCATGTAGACTGTGATAGATGCGTGTCATGAGTGACCTTCATATAAAAGAACAAGGGCACAAAGAGTTTCCTGTGATAGAGGCGTAGACAAGTCGCGTTCTGTTAATTATACAAAAACCAAGCAGCACTGGTTTTGTCTTCTAGTCAGTCAGATTTGGAGGGAGTCCGGTTTTCTTACAAACTGTGGTAGTAGTTGTAACACGTTACTGATCAGAAGTATGAATACAGGGTCCAGCTCTTCCTAGAAGAAGAGTAGCTTTTAGTTTTAAAACAATATATGAAAAAACAATGTAGACTTAGACTTGATTGGGGTAGTTTATAAAAGGATACCTTTGCTAACAGTTGTATCCTGCTTTCAGTTTATATAGCCATCATTCATATTGCAAGCTGAGTTGGTTCAGAAAAACTAAGTTAGTGCGCTTTACTTTTATATGACAACAGAATCTAAATAAACGGACAAGAGCAGCCTTTCAGGCCCAGTGCCGCCACGGCCGGCCGGCCCTCCGTACCTCTGACACAGCGGGGCTCTGCGGGCCGGCCAGGCGCTCTGTGCGTGAAAGGGACTTGCAGGGGGCCGTCCGTGCCTGTGCTCCATCTTCAGTTGTTGGCTTTCAGTTTTCTGTGCGCATGGAATGGACCAGGAGTAAAACTTTTTTACTTCTTAAATGTCTTCAATTTTTCTTGCAGTTGATTTTCTTACATTCACCCAGTTGGTAATGGCACAGTTGAAGACAAACCTGTTCACCAGTCCTCCCACCTCTGTTGTGGGACATGCTTTAGCCCCTTCTTGGGGGCTGGGGCACATCTCTGCTCCGTAGCAGGCCGCTCCCCCCACTACACCTAGCACCCTGGCCCTGCCTGCACTGTTGAGACCGCTGTCCTCGTGTCACACCTGCCTGGGCCCCTCGTCTGCCTGCAGATGGGCTGCTCCGTGTCTGTCTTGAGCTTGCAGGGAGATGGCCGGTGTGGTCGGAAGTGCTTCTAAAATGATACACAGGCCTTGGTGAGGGCCTGACTCTGTCCTGTAGGTCAAGGGCACAGGCTCCGGGGGCACCAGCAGGGTCTTCAGCTGCATTTTGGTCTTAATTCCCAATTCTTAAGGTTTATTAACATCTGACCTCTAGTTAGGTCAAATCCTACTATATTCATTTGTGAAGGATCTGTGGATCGAGTGTAGCTGTGGTTGCTTTTAAAGAGAATCACTGTAATTTTTAACAAACACTTTTAATAAACTTTCCTGATTTCATGGTTTTGATGAAAGTTACTGGACTTTTTGAGATTTTTTTTGGTAGACTTTAGAATGGTTGGAGCTGACTATTAAGCTTTTTTTATATACCATTAATATTCCAGTACTGCCATTGGCAGCGTTTTGATTCTGAAGAGAGTACATGAGTTCAAGGTCAGAGAGATTGACTTGTGCTGTTCATTACAACCAATTATTCTGTGACAAATGAGTTTGAGATCAGGCTGAAAATCTGTACGAAAAATCAATAGTTCTAATCAGGCCCTTTCAGGTCATTTATACCCACCTTTTGTTGGCCCGTCAGAGCAGAGCCAGACAAAGCCTGTGTGACAGCGTGGCCCCTGCTGTAGCCACTTCCACTTGGAGCATGTTTTGATATCTTAAACGAGTGGTTTAATTGGTTTCAGATATGCAAATGAATGGAAATACACATCTTTTCACTTTTTAATATTCTGATAAGATTTTCTAAACTAGCTTTAGCTGTGTAATTTTTCTCCCTCCCCAGTGGAAGGAGTTATAGTTAAAGTCTATAAGCAGATTTTGAAGAGCACCTTTCAAATTTTGAACGAAAGGTTTGTGAATTTTGCTTTTTCAGAGTTTGTAGAAATGATGGGAACGGTTGCCTTGCCTTGCCTGGTACTGCCCAGTAATCAGTGCGCGTTCTGTCTTCCAGTTCCCTGAGGAAGATGAAGAAACGAGGCTGTACCGCTTAAAGATCGAGGAGCAGAAGCGCCTGCGGGAGGAGATCCTGAAGCAGAAGGAGCTGCGCCGGCAGCAGCAGGCCGGGGCCAGGAAGAAGGAGCTGTTGGAGAGGCTGGCGCAGCAGCAGCAACTCTGCACCTCCATGGCCCCTCCAGAGCGGGAGGAGCAGCCAGCAGCACCATCCCCATTGCCCACCAATGGGAACCCCTTGCTGCCCTTCCCTGGTGCTCAGGTCCGGCAGAGTGTGAAAAACAGACTTCTTGTGAAGAGCCAGGATGCCGCTCCTTCAAACCTTCAGCCCAAAACGCCCAACTTCGTGCCGTCTGGTGCTAGCATGCCGTACCCGGGACAGGCCGTGAAACCACTGAAGCACTTGAGACACAAAGTCCTGCAGGTACAGCCTGCGGACGGGGACGCGCCGCCCCCAGCACAGACTGCCCGAGGGCCGGCCCTCCAGAGTCGGCCCCCGGACACCAAGCCCAGCGCCAAGAGGACTGTCATGCACCGGGCCAACAGCGGTGGCGGAGACGGGCCGCACATCAGCTCCAAAGTCAGGGTGATTAAGTTGCCAGGCGGGGTAAGTGGAGCGGTCACTGCCCCTCTGGGGTCTCTGTGCCCTTCTCTTTGAGCGCCCTCATCCCCGGAGTAGTGGGCACGCAGCAGAGGGGGGGTCAGGGTGCTCCTGCACAGCCCCCCAGATGGCGGGCCTGCCCTTTGTCTGGGATCTGCTCCTGCAGCGCCCAGTTGTCTGGGTCTCGTTGGATGACCACATGGTGACCCCTGGTGTAGACCGTTCTCAGCATTAGCTTCTTTCTGTACACAACGTGTGGTAGTCGTCCAGTGTGTTTTAAGCATAAAATTTTCTTTGCCAAAGAACAAGTAATTTGCTGTGTAGCTTTAGATGCAGTGAGCCCTGGGGCATGAAGGGAGGGTGCGCCAGTCTTTCTACTTCTGTCCTCTGACAGCTCACCCCGTCCATGCAGCAGAGCCACTCTAGAGCCCTTTCCACAAGCAAGGCGGAGTTGTGGCCGCTTCCTGGACAGGCAGGTGGGGTCAGTGCCTGCACAGGCCTGCAGACAGGTGCTCTTGGCAGGTGGTCTCATCAGGAGGCATGAGTGGGGTGCGTGCTCCTTACAGAAGGGGCCGCTGGCGCTGTGACCACAAGGACTTCTGAAATGTGCTGGACAGTCCGTGTGAGCGTCCGCTGTCACAGTGCTCCTGGCATGTGCACTTGTCTGTGAGCTGAGAGAGGACGGGGAGCCAGCTGGTGGTGGTGGTGGTGACTGGATGGACCAAAGCCAGCAGTCCGTGGGCCTTCCAGGGGAGGGCCAGCCCTAGCAGCCCTAGCATCCGGGGAGGTGCTGGCTGAGAGCAGCTCCTCATGCGCTGCCCGCTGGGCACGGTGCTCAGCGCTGCTGTCTGTAGGTCTGCGGGCTCACAAGGTACTGCGTTTTGTGTGAGGTGCTCCTATGTGTGATGCACACAGACTTACGATGCATGTTTTTGGCCCAGACTTTCAGGGAAAAAAACCTGTTAATTTTTTTAATTCAATTTTTATTTATTTATATTTAGAAACAAAACTGATCATTGTATTCCAGGGCATTATTTTGCATTCGGTTGTCATTATTGCTTTGTGGAGTTACACTTATAACACGGAAGCATAAATAAAAGAATTAGAAGCATTTATATAGATATAGAACTAGTACTACCCATGTATAATGTGCATCCTTGTTTTTCCCTCAAAAATTCAGGCAAAAAAGTGTGCATATGCAACAAAATATGGTAGTTTTCCACATGCTGTGAGAAAATTTGTAATGGGATAATAAATGTGGGGGTGACTTTGCCCTCAAGTCCCCCTGTCCACCATGGATGAAAATATCACTGTCAAGACATCATGATCTGCTTGGGGAGGAGAGGTGGCCAGTTTCTCAGAGGAAAAAGGCCAGGAGCCCCTTCCTCCAAGGGCTTTTATTGGGTTGTAATACACAGGAATATAGGGCAGCAAGGATCAAACAGCAGATAACATTTCAAAGAAATCTGAGGGCTTAGTCTGAGTCAGTGTCTGTTAGGTAAGGGGGTTGCAGAAACTTTGGGAAACATACTCATTTCCTGCTTGGACCTTTAACATATGAATGAAAGTACCCTTAGCAAAGCAGGCTTCACAGGACTTTTAGGAACTCTTTCTTATGTCTGATTACCCAATTACCCATGGTCCCCCTCTAGCTGGGCAAGGGGCTGCACCACCTCCCCCATCACAGGTTTTCAGGCTGAAGTGGATTAGAGCCAGGAAGTGCTTCTCCCAGAGGACATGGGGACTCGGGTTATGTCAGAATAGCCGGCGGGGGGCAAGGGGGGGTTAGGGCCCATCACTCCCTCTTTGTTGCAGCCCCCCAAGTCCTTCCACGATGGCTTCCCAAGTGATCCCAACAATAATATGAATTGGAAATTCTATATTCAGTAAGACCCATAATTATGTTTTACTTGAATCTGCTTTTTCTCAACTCCATTCATTGTGACTTGAAATATTGATTAATAGGTGGCCTGTATCCCCCAAATTATTTTACTGTTGTGCACATGCTATCTTTAGGTGAGAACACAGGGGTTAGTTTCCAGGGTCTGTGGCCTTTTGCTTTGGACTTTGTTCAGGCACACTTTGTCAGTGTCTCACTTTTCTTCTTCAGTTATGAAAGGAGGGGCATGGGGCCAAGGTCGGGAATAGACCTTCCCGTGGCCCCTGAGGTTGGTGGGAAGTGAGAGCCAAGTGCAGGTAGGACGCTGGCGGGCCAGGTGTGAGTGCAGCTCGTCTGTCAGAGGACAGCATTCAAACTAATCAACATCTTTCCTTTTGGGGGGTTTATCCCCTAAGGCTTTAATGTTTTTCTCTACAGTGGAAAAATATTTTTACGTCAGGCTGTATTCTGAAATCATGCTATGTAGTTTTGCAGTACAGAGGAAGACAACAGAGGAAGTTGACACGAAAATGGTTGTCTGCCAGACGGGGAGTGGCTTTCTAGGTCTCTCCGATTCCTGCGTAGAAAGGTAGCTGACCCCCCAGGTCTGAGGTCGGCCTTTGGGTTTATCCCACCGTGCCCTCCGGCAGCATGGCGACCGTGGGAAGTCGGAGGATAGATGGCCCTTAGGTGCTCCTATATGGACTAGAGTGGAGCTGGGGTGGGCAGGAACTGTATTTAAGGGGAACATAGTCATGACGGTGCTAATTCCAGGCAGTTCAAAAAAAGAGTTTTCTGTTTACAGTTCTTTCTTCTGCCATTTATTCCTGTCCCCACTAGTCCCTCACTTCCCCATGGGCTGTGGTGCCAACGCAGCCAGGGCAGGTCAGGGCAGTGTGAGGTGGGGCTGGGGCAGGGCCAGCAGTGGCAGGAAGGCTGTGCTGGGGCCTGGCGTTGGGGAGGGGCCACTTGTGTGCTGCGCCTGCGCAGAGAGCTCTGTGCACGTGTCAGGTTCCTGCTGAGAGTGGTCCCTTGCTAACCTAATTAAGTCCCTTGTCAGGCCTGTTCTTTTGTGTTTCGCTTTGCACGTCTTTGTGTCCTGTTTACACAGTGACACACTGTACGGTCTTTACGAGGTTCTCGGAGAAGATTAGTGCTGGAGTCCAATTTGCAGGGCCCCCACCCCACGCGGTTCCGAGGCTGCTGATCGCAGTGCCCTCTGCGACGGCATCCTCCTGGGGCAGGGACAGGGGATGGAGCCAGGCCCTGCTGGGGGTCCAGTCAGGGTAGCTGTCCTCTGGAATCTGACTTCTGCGCATGAGCCGGAGCTGCCTCACAGCTTCCTCGCTGTTCTCTCTCCATTCTGCGACCTGGGAGGTGACCGGCAGCAGTCCCGAGGCCTGTCCTGTCCCGCCGTGGTACTTAGCACCAGATGAGTGATCTTTGGGTTTTGTGCCATGGGGTTTTCTGAAAGCGAAGTAGCCTGAGTCCCTGGCAGCACTTCGAGTCTGCCCTCACGCTGCCGGTCGTTGACTTGGCATTCTTACCCTTGTCATCCCTCCTCTGGGTCGCAGGGAGCAAGTCACAGAGGACTTCCTGTGGCTCCTTTCTTGGTGTTGGTTCTCACAGTCACGGGACCGTGGTCGTCTGGGTTCACAGCTCCTAGTCACTCTTCCCTCTCCACGGGCTTCCTGTTGAGTTCCACCTGTTGTGCGTCCCTCGGGCACCCTGTTCATGGGGCGGGGCATGTGGAGACTGTGGCTTTGGAGGAGGAAGCCCGTGGATGGCTGTCTGTTGTTAAGTGTTCTCGGGACCCCAGCGGTCCTTTCACTGTTCTGAGCCTCAGTCTCCAGTCTGAATGCGGCTCCTCAGGTTGCCGTAAGGGACAAGTGAACGCAGCCTCCTCTCACGCAGACAGCTCCTCACAGGCACCCATTTTCTTTCAGAGTGCTCCTGAGGCCCTTCTAGAAGTCCACGTTGTGGGTCGCATGCTGTCCGGTGGTCACGGCAGCAGCCACTGTGTGCCCAGGGCTCCCGTGTGCTCACAGCATCCGCAGAAGGGCTGCTCCCTCCTGCTGGCGTGGGTGGGAGGGTGGGCAAGGGCGACTCCAAGCCCTGGTGCTGGGAGTCCAGGTCACCTGACTGCTGCCCTGTGGAGGAGCGAGGCTTCCGAACCCTGAGCTCCTGGCCATGGTTGGTAACAGTTACTATTGCTGCTGATTCTCCCCTAGTGTGACTTTTTCCTTGATTAAAGATAATATACTCTTTCCAGTGGGAGTACAGAGCTGTCCGAGCTGATTCAGAAAACTTTTAGAGGGGCTTCTAGACAAGGGTGATTAAGTCCCGCCGTGCTGGCCAGCCCCGACAGCTGTGAGTGAGCAGAGAGCGCGCTGGGGAGGGTTCAGAGGGGCGGAAGAGCGGCATGACTGGGACAGAACTGGGGTGGCCGGGTTTCCATCACCCCTGCACCCATTCCCGGAATGTGACAGGAGCTTTCTCGATGGACATTGTTGACACATCGGCACGCTTGCCACAGGCTGGGATAGTTGGCTGCAGAGAATGGGGGAACGCTGCAGATGAGAAGCGTTCTTGGCCCACGCTGCAGCTGTCCTCAGAGCCTCTGTGTGCTCGTGTGTGGGGCCTCGCACAGCACGCCTGTCATTCACTGTGCCGACTCTGCATGCACTTTGGAAGGTGACAGGGCGAGGCTGGGCGTGGGGGTGGGGGAATGGGGGTGGTGGACGGGGGCCTGTGTGTGTGGTGAGCATGGAGGCCGAGGCAGGGCAGCAGGCCTGTCGGAGGGGAATTCACAGGGGGCTGCTTGGGACCCCAGCCACTGTCCTTCTGCGTGTCCTGACAATGTTATCTGTCCTCTCAGTGTGAGTATCAAGTGTCTGTCATGGCACAGAAATTAATTTAATGTCACCTGAAGACATGCAATTAATCTTTTGGAGGTTTTCATAATACCTTTACAGAAAGAGTTGCCAGTTTGGCGGATTTGGACTTTGGGGTTTAGAAAAAGATAAGGAAAATTAATTTTTCATCAGGGTTAATACAAGCTAGCAGGGCCACAAAGGCTGAGAAGACGGTTGGGGAATTTGTCAAAGTGTTGTCAGTTAGAATAATG